TTTTAAATATATTTTAAAATTTGTATTGCGTACCTTACTCACTAAAATAGAATCGGACCTTATTATTGTTTTACACTTTTTACTTAGTTTAGAATAAGACATTCCTGTCATTGTGGAATCTTATGCAGAATTATGAATTTTGGTCTATAAGCTATTCGTGGTTTTTTTCATCTAATACTACTTTAAGATGAAGCTTTGTCGTTAAAAAAACCGGTGGGAGCTAATATGAAACCATTAAACGTTGCGGAAGATAAAAAAGAGGTTAATCATAGCATTTTCGTGTTCTTCTATTTAATTTAATGTATTCTTTCGCACAATTTTTAGTAATTATTTACATTTTTAGTCCTGCTCTGTCTTGACTTACTCTTACATCAAGTGACTATAATCATGAATTAAAACATTTTTTTACTTTTCCCAGTAATTTTTAGCTTTTACAGGTGTTATAAATATTTGATATGAGTTTGTGTTAGTTTGCAGTTCATTTAAGTTTTATATTACAGAGCTATAAGACTTTTTGCCAATTTACATCCAGTTTTTATAACCTGATTCATACAATTTTTTCATCACAAATTAATTTAGAATCGTGTTGGCAAAGGCGTCGTAATGGAAAAAAACGTGCTTCCATGTAATGAAGTTTCTAAAACTGATGATAAATCAGATGATAAAAATCGAAAAAAATTACGACAAGAAAGTAGATTGCGAATGAAGCGAAAATGTGAGGCACAATTAATTAGTTTTATTGATTTTCCTAATACTCTGTTATTCGAGTTACTCTAATACTTCAGAACTACCTTGGTTCATCTGTGGTGAAACATTTGCTTACAGTAATTCACATTTGTCTGTATTTTTTCGATCAAAACTCGTGTTCTTCCTTAAAATTTAAATTTATGTTGTTAAGGTTTAATGCTTCAAGTATTGTGAAACCTAATTATTTTAAGATGAAGTTTCGTCACTCAATGAAAATGTGGAAACTAATATAAAACCGCGAACTGTGATTGAGGATGAAACAAAGGTTATTTAAAACATTTTCATATTTTTCAATTTGAGATTATGTATTTTCGCTCAAAATCTATTACTAATAATTCAATTCTCTCATATCTCAATGCACCTGTATATCAAATGGATAAAGTCTCAAATTAAAGATTTGCATATTTTTTATTATAAGGTCCAACTTTAAATAGTCTTTTATTTCTTTCGCTGGATACTTGTCTTTCATATTTATTTTTTTTCAACTTTGCAAGTATAATAAGTATTTAACTAAAAAATTGGAATGACTTTTAACTAAATATATTGTATTTAATTTCCATTTCACGAATTTAATTCATATGAACGTCCTTTTCAACTTTATATGTAGCTCTGGTGATTGGATTATTGAATTAATTTAGATTCCTGATGACAGAGATCACGTAATAGAAAAGGACGTATTTTCATTCAATGGAACTTCCCAAAATGATAATTATTCAGAACATAAAAATCGAGGAAATTTACGGAAAAAAATTAATTTAAAGAGGAAAGGAAACCGTAAGGCATCACTTATTAGTTTTTTTTCTATTTTTTTGTGATAGTGTCAGATTTTTTTTTTGTTTTTTTTAGAAGATTAATTAATCCACTTCAAAGTTTGATTTTCTTAAATAAATTACAAAGAACGCTCTTTTTGGTGAAGTTTCTACCAATTTGAAACTTTCTTAATTTAATCTAGTGAATAGTGTGCAGTGATTACGTTTGTTTGCATTCGCTTTAGGGCTCTAATTCCTTTTTCTAATTAATTAAAAAATTTATACTGTCACAAGTTCAACTTTTTGGTATTATTGTTTTCCTATTTTGCAAAAAAATAAAGAGATTTCAAAACTATTCAATTTTCCATAAAATCCATCCTTAAATATTTGTTCGGAGTGTTGGTTTTGTGCTATGAATATAATTTAGATAAAATAGTAGATGAAGGAAAATCAAATAGTCCAACTAAGGTCTTTGGAGATTCAAATAAAAGTGTTTTCACTTTACTGTTTTCCGAAAGAAATGATAATGTAGAAGATTTTGGTCATGTGAAGAAGCAAGATACTCTTGGAGAAGTGTTGCAGAGTGGTAAAAAAAGGAAGAAACGAAAAGAAATAGTGAGTAAAATTTATGAGCTGGATATGCAGGAGTAATATATTTCTGTTTTTATTGGTTTATGATGTTGAATGAAAAAATTTAGTAAGTTTACCGCTAGCTTAATCATGAAAACTTCCAGTCTTACGCACACAAATTGCTATGTGTATGTCATGTGTGACTTTGTATATTTAGTTCCAGAACGATAATGTAAAATTTTATAGACAGATGGTGATCTGAAGAAAAATGAGCAAAAAAGAGACCGAGATCTGATTATTTCTGATTCAGAACAGTACGTGACAAATAATGATGAAGATAAAAGTAAGGATGAAAAAGATAAAAAGGAATTAGAACTGCACAATAATGGCTCATTTCTGAGTGTTAGTGAGATCTAATATATTTTTTCATTCCAGTGAAAATGCATAAAAGTAAGTTTGATGTTGAAGTTTGAAATTAGTTTTTCAACTGAAGAAATTGGGAAAGGAAATAAAAATGAAGTTATGTGAAGTGATTTTATAGAGTGTGGTCAGGAAGCAAAAATTGATTTTGAAAAAATGCCATTCTCCGCTAGTGAGGATTCAACAGAAAATGGATTAAATGCTTTCAAATGGCTCATCCACCCCTTTGGCATGAAAAAATTTTTCAAGTTGGTCATTAGACTAAGTTTTGTTGCTGTATCTAATAGACATATTAAAATAAGATGTTTTTCAAAGACGTCTAATTTTTGAGAATTTATTGTAAGGACCGTGAATTTTAGAATGGTATTCCAGAAGAAAGAACTGCATGTTTGTCATAATAATTTGAAGTACTACGGCAATTTATTCAGTACTACAAAATTTATCGATATTTTACAAATGGTTTATTTATTCAGTTTAAAATTATTTTTGTTCTAGCTTTTTATTTTTTCGATTTATTGAAATGGTTATGATTCTATAAAAAATTATCCATTTCAGGAGTACATTGAATACGGCACCAATGTGAATGTGGCCGTCTACAAAGATCAGAAGCGATATACATTAAATGGTGTAGGGAAAGTGTATCCTTACTCCATAAAGAACAGTCTCCTGGTGAATGAAAGCTATTATAAATAACATAATCACCTATAACGTTCACATGCTAACTTTCAGTTTTCTTTGTAAAAAAAGGTTGACCCAAACAGGTGTCACCATTTGTGATTTGGCTAGACCTTTTATAGTTCTAGGATGGCCATTCAATACAGTTTACGAATCCTCAGAGTTTTTGTGATAGTATTTGGTATTACTGTGATTTGTTACAAGAGGTATTTGGTTCCTTTGTGGGAGCGAATACGTATGTTCTGAAATCTTTATATACATTTTACTTTTTTAAATCAAAATCAGCTTTATATCCTTTTAAAATTACGATCAGTTTCTAATTCAGTAAATTAAAATTTAAGAAACAAATACTGCTTATTTATTTGGTCACTTTAATAAATTTTTTTCTTTGTAGAAAGAGTGAGTTTTTTCAAATAGTTATTTACAGTTATTTGACTCCGCCAAATTCGGCAGGTTTTGCTCCTCATTGGGATGATATCGATGCTTTTCTGCTTCAGCTTGAAGGGCGGAAATATTGGAAGATATATAAACCTGTAGAGGAAGATGAAATGCTTCCAAGAGTCCCTAGTGGTTTGCGTTTGTATTCTTGTTAAATTCTCAGGATTAGTTAGGTTTCTTTTATCTCAAAGCTTTGCCATTGTGGCTTTTTTAGATAATTTTACGGATGATGATATGACTGATCGTACACTTGTTTTTGATGGATGGTTAGAACAAGGAGACTTATTGTACATTCCACGAGGTTTCATTCATCAGGTTTGGTTAAATGGAGCAGTTTCATAATTTTGGTGAAGATATCGTTTTTTTTATTCATTTCACTAGTATACAAATGACTAATTTTTTGCTTTACTTCATTTGACCTTGCATTCAAGTCCTTTCTTGTCAATTTTTTTTAGTTTAAATGTCAAATTCATTATTAAAGTATTCATTCATATGTTAGGGTTTTGCCGATGAAAGTATTCATTCCTTACATCTAACCATCAGCGTTGGTCGGAATATTACTTATGCTGACCTTCTGGAGGAAATTGTTCCTCCTGCCATATCAATCTTTGCTAATAAGCAAGTGGATATTCGCAAATCCTTGCCACTTCGTTATTTGGATATGACTGGTGTATTAGATTGTAATTATGTGATTGGAGCTGAAGCTGTTAGGCATGCATTTCTAAAATTACTTTCAGAACTCTTAATATATGTTATGACAAAAAAGGATTTTCATCTTCAAAAATATTTTTTATTACTGTTAGATTTTTGGATTTCTGAAATATTGCTTGATAACTGTGTTTCATTAACTTGAAATTTAGACTTAATCGTGATCTAAGTCTTGCAAGTTCAAATTTTTGCAACTTTTTAAAAAATTTGAACGAAACGGCTGTTGATATAATGGCTAGAGAATTCATGAGAACAGCCCTGCCACCTATGCTTACAACTGGTAATTTAGCATCTGTAGTTGTGCAATATTTTCATTTTTTTTTCAGTTGTTTGACATTGTTTTTAAACGTTTGTAGATATAAACTTATCTAAACTTACCTTACATCTAAATTTTTTCTGTGTATTATAAGTTGCATAAATGAAGCGTAGTTTTTGTCTTTTAATGAATTTTAGCTAAAATTTGTTTAAGAAGAGAAAAATATGACTGCATTATACATTAATGGGTCATCGTTATATAAGAGAAGCGAACTTACTTTCACGGAATTTACAATGATCAAGCTTCTTAGACGACATGGCCAAAGGTATATGTAAAAATATTATTTTAGCATTGTTTTTTCATGGCATATAAAATATTGCTAATATTTCAAATGTTATGAAAAAGTTTGATTGCTATGAGAAGTTAGTATTATTTTATTTCCTTTCGTTCATTGAAATTCTCATCACTAATGTTGTATGATATAAAAATTTGTCGCTCTCAATTTCAGACTTATTTATGAATCAGAAGAACGTTGTTTCATAGTACATCGCATGGCTAATTCAAGAGTATATGAAGGAAGACCTGAAGTCTTATTTGATTTAGATTTAAAGGCGAGTTTTAATTTTTTATCTGATAAAACCTTAACGCAAATTTGAGAGAATAAATGATAAGAATTGCAGTTTGTTGGTGGCTTTGTCAGTTTATTGAATTCCTATCCTAAATGGTGTTCAATATCAGATTTGAAGTGTGATACAGCAGCTGATAACATCGAATTAGCAGAACTTCTCTTCAGCAATGGACTGATTATGGCCAAATTTGGAAAAACTGTTTGGTGATTCCTCTTATAGTTGCGATATGTTGATTGCCTTTGATATTTTTGTTTCTCATCTTAGTGTTTGTTTTAATATATGGAAAGCTATATGACTTTTTGTGACACTCTATCCAAGTGTTTAAGACACTATTTATTGTCCAACTCGGTGAAGACAATTTCGATTCCGTTTTCTTTATTTGCAAAGTGTCATGGAGACACATAAGCGACTGGTTTCAGTACTGTTTTTTTTTTTTTTGCTGCAGTATTGAATCGTACCATTTCAAATATTGGTGTTTCGTTTCATGTTTTTAAGTCTTTGTTGAGTTTTCAGAACAAGCAAAGTTTTTGTGGTGGTTAGTTCTCAATTAGCACAAAAAGCTAGTTATGGAATACGAAACTTCATTTTTTCGTAAGATCTAGTTGTTATTGTTTTAGCAAAGTATATCGTGTGCAATTTGAACAAGTGGAATATTTGTTTTTATTTTAACTGTATACCTTGTATTCTACTTATATTTCAGACATTTGTTGTTATATTGTTATTATTATACAATTTAAATATCACGTGTGTTCCATCTCCAACAGGCAACAAAAAATTGCTTACTCGAGAATCTGTTGACGCTTTATGATTTGTTTCATTTATAGCTGCTGTAGTGTTACTGACGACATAATCATATGCAACCCTTCCACCCCACAACGCCTAAAAAACAATTTAGAAGCATAAAATCTTGTAAGAGCATACTTCATTATTGAGAACATTTATATGTTGGTGGACTCACGTTGTCAATTACTATAACTCCTCCGGGTCGTAGCAACTTGACTGCTTGGTCATAATAGTTTGGGTAATTTGTTTTGTCTGCATCAATAAATACAAAGTCCCACTTTTCAGCCTCTCCAGAAATCAGCATTTTCTCTAAATAAGTTAGACTTGAAGAGTAAGGAAGAAACAATGGTGTAATCCGTATAGAAATTCGTTATATCTTATACATTAATGCAAAAATTGTACTGGCCAAGTTTAAGAAGCGCTGGTCCTATGTGTCTTTGAATTTTTTTGTGGATATCAGGTCTCGTCTCAACGATCGCTTGACTAATATTATCGTAATAATCAGGATAGATATCAATTGTTAGCACTTTACTACCTTCTGGCATTGCTAATGCCCAAGCCACAGCTGATGAACCAGTAAATGTTCCTAGAATCTTTAAGTAAACAGCAAAATACATAAAAAATATGAAGTACAGAAGTTATGCGATTTGATGCAAACATAACAATCAAGAAAAATGTTGCCTGCATTCTTACATGTTAAGAATTTGCTTAAGAAAAGATGTTACCAATGTCAATAGCTTTTGTGGCTTGTATCAGAAGAATTAGATTCTGGCCAAGTTGAAGTACTTCTGGTGATGCGAGCATTACTGCGTTGGGCAGATTTGTAATTGTTTGGTTCATTATATCAAACTGAATTGGATCTATCTTGACTGAAATCTGAAATAACTGCTCACATAACTTTTTTTTAAATGAATTCTGCTTGATTACATAGATAGTAATTGATTTAGAAAATATACTATGAATAAATTTTTACTCTAATATAGGAATTATTTTTATTTACAATTCTTAGTCTTCTGATAGGATTTTTTATAGTTAGAAATGAAGGAATAACGTTATTTAAAGTTTGTGAATTAATATTTGGCAAAGAAAATTAATTAATTAATTATGCAAAAATTGTTTTACTTACGTCAGAGCAATATTTGTGAATATTATAAGGGAGGAAATTTGGATTCACGCAAATAGCATGGAAATATATAAACAAAGCGTATGTAAGCCATTTCATTCTGAACTAAAAATTTTTAAGTGATAAATTTATTTGAGCTTCAAATAGAAATACGTAAATATTTTGTCTATCACCTAGTAATTTCCAAATTATTAACTAAAGATTGTTTATTTTCTAAAATAGGAGCTGCGTGAAAAATTACGTGTCCAAAAGAATTATGATTTATTGTGAGAATGAAGTTGATAGAATTTAATAAAATAGAAGAAAAAATTGTTTCTATGGTTACTACTTTATGTTCAATTCAAAAATGAAAATTTATTTAATAACAAAATTAATAATTATAATTCAAAAAGTAGTTTTAGGACGACATACAAGAATCCATCATTAAAGTACGTATCACACGCATTATTCAAATTTTGTCAACAATTACTATCAAAATTAGAATACTCGAAACCGCTGAAAAGTAAGTAATTTCTAGAAAATGTCATCTCCAATAAACAGAATGACAATACTAATTAATATTAGTAACATCACTTTCTTACCTTCTTCAGTCGAAGTAAAAATTAGCAAAACGTTTCTTACTTCAAACGAAATATAATATCATTTTCTTTTACTAATAGAACGCTCTTTCTACGAAATTTCTTGACGGCATTTAGTAAACGTGTTTTTCAAGTGTTATTCGCTTAACTTTCTTACGTTTCATCAGAACAAAATTTGTTCGCAGAATATATATATATATATATATATATGTTATTTTCTTACTTATTTCTTGCCATAATCTATCAATTATTGTAGAAATGTACAATTTATTTAACTTAGGACAGAATTAATTAAAATTATGAATTGACTTTGAAAGTTTGTACACTTTTGAAAACTCCGATATTTTATCAAAGTAATGCAAGTTATTAAAAATTTACTTTGTGAAAGTCAACCCTTAATCCCTCGCAGATTAATAAGACTGCAGTCAAAAATATTTAATTTAGTCAACAACAAAAAAAGCGAAGAATGCATTAGAAAGACGTCAAAACGTTAATTACACGTTAAATTTAATAGAAAATTTATTGATGGAAAGAAGCCGAAAATCCATGTTAAGCGGTATCGATCTCGAAAGTTCAACCAAGTTTACTTATTTATCCATTTTTCTCATTTCAGTCTCTGACTTCCATCGTTAAAAAGTAGCATTGCAACGTTCATTTATCCATAAATCACGTGTAAGGACTACTGACAGTTTATATTTTTTATAATTCTACGTGATAATTTATTTACAAATTATCGACGCTTAATATAAAAATATGAATCCAAGTATTTTACAAAACAAACTTCTGAAGTGTCGGCAATTGAGTTTACTTTGTATTATACTCAAGTTCATATTCTGATTTAATTAGACAAAATTTGTGCAGAATAGTAACCATCAATAAATTTGAAAGTTTGACTTTATACTAATGAAAGAGTTCACAAAACTTCAAGCTAACACATTCCATCCAATACTATCTACATGTAACTAATGGAACGACTTGATACCATGAATTAATATCTCGCAAATTTACTCCAATTTATGTAACGATTTATGACCCTATAATGTAAACACTTATTCATCTAATCTCAAACCAAACGGATATTACCAATCTATGGTATTTAGAACGTGACATGTATTTTGTAGCTGATATTTTATCATGTTACAAAAATCAACCAATTTACAATGAAACAATCACAAAAATAAAAATAAAAAATAGAAGCGAGCAGTGAAGTAATTCAGAGAAAATGAGCACCTCAATAGTTACATGTATATATTATATATGTATAATCATGTGCATGTGCAGCAGGTCGGAGGTTAATCTTTTTTTCTGTCTTCTCAATTCTCACGTTGCATCCTGTTCCGGCACTTCTACTGTACTCACCCGACGCCCAGTCCTGCTGGTTTCGGTACTCTTTCTCATATCCTCGAAGCTTTCTTCAACAACCTCAGCTGTTTCTGATTTTACTTTCATCTATGGTTCTAGGCTCGATTTTTTTCCGTTTGTCCTTCATGTACTGCTTTATCACTTTGTGATCGGATCGAATAATTGGCAACAGTCAAACAAAATTAAATGAAAGGAAAAAATCAGACTGAAGACATGTTTTAGAGAAAAAAATACACTAATTGTTTTTATAAGCAGTAATGAATGAATAAAAACTTGAGAGCATCTTTAAGGAATTTATAGACAGTTCAACATAATAAGTGAAAAAATCAATTTACGTCCTATATTTAATTTACCGTGTGAACAGAAGCTTAAGAATTAATCTGAAGTTATGAATCAGCAATTTAAATCCACTGTATTATTTTTGATTCTATGACCACTTTCATCAAAGTCTGACAATGGTGATGAATATGTTGAGTTCCAATCTCTCATGAAAATTTTGCTATTCAAGTCTTCAACAATTTTTGAACTTTGCACTGAGTTACATCGTTGTATAACTAAGCTAGCTCCTGCTGTATTTATGAAGTAGTCAGCTGACCAATTTGATGTACCTAAAATAAATTTAGAAAAACTAATAACTCATAAAAATCCAGTTGCTAGAATGCATTTGAAATGAATATTGTTAAAATTTATCTCAAAATGGTGTTGTTGGATGGATATAAAATGGAGCACTTTGGTTTCTAGCACAAAATGAAACGACTACTTTCAGTTTTCGCTGCCGAAATTACTTTAACGTTTATTCTATAATATTACAAAATTTCCAAAAGAAAGAAATGTACCAATCAAAGCACTGTTATCTGTAACCATATATTTTGCGTGATTTACACGAGAATATGGAATTTTCGCCTGATCATCCGATACTGGAACCTGCATAATGCGTACTTCAATTGAACCTGTTGTACCAGGAATACAAACCATTTTTTTTTCTGCAAAATTCGTCGTTTTACAGTATGACCTTGAAAAATTGTTTTCATAATTCTAACTTTTTGCTAAGCATGCACTGCCCAAGTATTATTTAAAAATTAACTAATTCTACACCACTTTGAATTTTATGCTTAGTATGAGCAATTCAATTTGAAATCTTACTTTTCGTATCATAAGTTCGCTTACACGGTAAAGTAGAATTGATTACTTCTAGTGATTTCATAAATGCAAACAATGTCGGTCGAGTATGTCTCCACTTACTCACTAACAATTTTACATGAATACCACTGAATGCAGCTTTCCTCAACACATCATCGATAAGAGGCCAATATCTGTAATATACATGATAAAGTTAACAAAAAATAAATAGAAACTGACAAAAGAACTCACCTATTATTTTGTGCATATAAAGTCGCCGGGAAATAATCCATAACTGATATATGTACAAACTTTTCAGCAGTCGTAATAACTTTCAAAATTGCACTGAGGTCATCCAAACGACCATTTGGACAGAAATGAGGTGGAGCAGACTGCAATATTATTTTACTTCATAAAAACAGATCATATAATAACGATTTCATCGCTTTTTAAATGAAAATTTTTATCTCACGAAATAACTGAAGTATGAAGAAACGAAACAGCATATTAATAATTTGACCATGGTCGCCTTAATTGCTATCCTAAAATAAGTATTAGAAAAGAAATGAAATTACCGAGATATAAACAGCACTTTTTTCACCATTAAGGGTAACCATCATAGGATTTTCAGCATTGTAACGAGTTGTTAATTCCTTCGACCAAAGCGAAGGTAATTTTTTATTCGGTGCTCCCATTTCCCAATAAACGTCCATCACTTTCATGAGATCTTCAGCTAAGCACTCACAATTAAAAACTGCAACACCAAGTTCTTTTACCTGAAAGAAAAGGAAAACACAGTTTACTTCTAAATTTAGATCTTTCAATTTTTTTTAAAGAGCTTTTTAAGGGTAATGAGTTCCAAAACCTGTGTTAAAGATCGCCAATCAAGATTTGCTGATCCCAGATAAAAATGTTTACCGTCCACTATCCAAAATTTCGTATGCAACACACCTAGATTTGTAATATAAAGAGACGCAAGGTAAATTTTATTCGTTGGATCTGCTAAAATTACTGTAAAATAAATTGTGATAAAGATTTTTCAAATAATTTCAGGCATTATAAGGAATAGTTGCTATTTTTAATAAAAGTATTTATTTCAATTCCTGATAAAAAATTAATTACGCTAAAAATTCACATAAAATCTTTCTACGAAAAATATGCATCACTATTTGACTCAGCATAATATTTCTCACCACCAGTCGACCATTTTGAAAAGTTCAAGCTACGCACTTCAGCCAAGCCCTTTTGTTCTAAATCTGTAGTCTCGTTGTTTCGCTGAGCATTTTGAACAATGCGCAACCTGATACCTTTGCTTGCTGCTTCAACTAACGAATTGTATACATCAGTTCCCTTTAAAATCGATACGTCAATTACTTTTCGAGAAAAATAACAAGGAATTAAAAATGAAAAAGAAATATGAAAATAAATGGATGATATATTAGAATCCAGCTAATTCCCTGGCTTGTAAAATTTTCAAAATTCACAAATGCTTCAAAAATACTAGTTTTTGACTAGAAAACTATATGGGCAAATACACAAATCTAGAAATACCCATAAAAACATATGTGTAAAAACCAAACATCTTGAGTCGAAGGACCTCTGTAGGAGCCAGCAGATTCTGGAAGTAATGACCAATAAAATGATGCAATGTCGATCGAGTTTTTGGCAGAACTGATTAATCGTTTCCATATATGAGTTGTTGATGGGAATTGTAATTCTTTGTAGAATGTCATATTTTCAGGTATTGATTCTACGAGATGAAACCTGAACTTTAAATCATTTTACAAAGAGATTTCTATGAAAAACATAAAATAAAACCGCTAAATACTTGTGATCCTAATATTTTATGCGCCTAAAGATTATTCTTTAATTTTCATCTCCAAAAGTATCAAAAAATCAAGCTTGTTAATCTTTCCAACATTTTAATACTACTAGAATTTTATATCTTAAATTAGCATAACAATCGATATCTGACGTCAATTATCCCCCTAAATTAGCTATTCCTTATCATTAGCTACCCCTAATTAATAGATTCTTGAAGTTCATTTAGGGTGCAGTTTATAGTAATGCATACTATACACATTAAATGTTGTCAAGCATAATGCGAATAACACAACAAAAAATTGACAAAGAACCTCACAATTTGATATAATCTTTGTTTTCTCACTAAGAATTAATATTTTGCAGTTTAGAAGCAAAGTATTTAAAACAAAAATCGATAAATAAACAGAAATCAATGATAAATTAATGGAAACTTGCACAATACTTATTTAAAATCCTAATAGTATTAGAAATGATAACAATGTGAGCACAGATATCAGGTCTATCGGAATCACGTTACTGAACAGAATTTTAACTCAAAACTGGATGTTAAAAATATAAAAAATTTACTGCAAGTTTGGAATTTTAGAAAATTTTTTTAAAAAATTCTTCAAAATTTAGAATTTTAGGAAATTTAAGACTTCAGTAAATTTTTTATATTTTTAACATCCAGTTTTGAGTTAAAACTTTTATTCTAAAATTTTTTAGTACCTTCACATACTCGTATGATTTATTCGAAGGAAGTTATTAAGATGCTAAACTAACTCGCAATTCTGTGGGCATACTTTGCCTGGTGAAAGAACTGAAGCGGTTGTTGAGACAGCATTTACTACCGAATGATGTTCATGCCGAAAAACAATGAAAAATGCCTGAAAAAAAAGGGGCGTGTACAATCTTTATCCAAAATTTTAACAATAATCAAAATTTATAATTACTGATTAATATGAGATTTTATTGTTTTTACAAATTAAAGAAAATTTTCTAAAATACAAGAAAGTAAGCAAAAGAACATACGGTTTTCAACAAGGTACGCATTTCAACAAATATCCACCATATTTTTTCCTTGAATATCCTCGCAGTAACTACTACACAAAATTAAACGAATTATAATACCTGTTCTCTTCTGCTTACTTTCTAAATCTACCATCTGGTTCTATGCGAATTTCAATTCCATAATTTTGAATTTTAAGTAAATGCGCTGATTAATAAAGAAAGAATAGGAATCAAACAACAGATAGATGTACGTGAAGGAAATAAAGGATAAAGTAAATGATTATTAACAGGAGAGGGAAGAATATGATGCATATAATAAAACAGAATGTATTTGAGAAAACTAAAGAAAAAACAATTCGTAAAATGAAGAGAGCTTTGAGAAAAATACAAACTATGAGATCAATGTCGTTATAGATTGAGAAAGCGTGAAAATTGTTGTCTATTGCTTGCTATGAATTGATAAAATGTAAAAATAGTGCAATTTATTGAAGAGAACAGAGATTGAAAGGAATTTGTTTTTAATTATTATTGCAAAGGAGATAAGTTAATATCTATTAATGTTCTCCTGTGACATTTTATAAATTATATTGAATAATTAAATTGTTTCTGACTAATTAAAATTGGAATATGAAGTGTAAATAAATTAATTTTATTTCAATTCAATTTTTACTTTCCAGAAAATAAATAAATACTCATTTAATTCGTAATTATTCAAATTAATTGTGATTCAGTGTCTTTGCTAATGTCTAAAATTTTACATATAATTTGAATTTTAATTTTTATAATTTTAATTTTACATAAAATATTTTATTATGTTACTATTTTTGAAAATGATTTATTTACTATTTCAACACTTTACCAATTTTTTCTATCGGAAGTTAGCCTAAATTCTGATAAAAGTAATGATGCAAATTTATTTTTAAAATTATTCAGTAAAAAATGATTGAATTTAAAATAAAGTAAAGTTGTACCGCAGGCCAAATTATGGATATGAAGATGACCACGGCCGAAACTACCATTGCAAGAATAATTGGCGTTTGGAATTTCATTGCTTGTATTTCAACTAGGTCAAACAGATGATAGGTCAAACAGATTAACCTTAATTTAGTAAATGATAATTAATTTCTTCGAAATAATAAATATTATACTCTGGAATACTTATTGAATTGCAATTTTCAGATCACAATTTTTGTTCTCTACAATGCAAAATATAAATAATTTGCAAATAAATATACAGTAATGATTTGATCTGATGTTTTTGCTGCTATCCTAATTCTATCCTTACTTGGCTTCCATCAATGTAGTATCATTACTCTATTTTATTCATTACTTATCACTAATTTTATTATTATTAATCTTTATTATGATGTAATAAAAGTAATTGCAGTCATAAAAATAAGAATTGTAATACACACCTTTTATATTCCAGGAAATTGTTAAAAATGTCAATTAAATATTAAAATTATTCAAAGCCCTTGTTTAGACAAAGTATTTTATAAATTAAAAACTAATTTTCAGATTTTGAATACTTTCCCATGCCTCTTTATTTCTCATACCAAAAATTTAGTATTATAACTTTTCAAGTCAGATATTTGCTAGTTTATATATTAAATACCTAAGTTTGCACGAGTGTTTATCAGTATTGAATAACAGATGTAATCCAAATAATGAAAAGTAAGATTATAGTTCGAAAGTACTTTGCTAATTTTGTTTTATCACCCATTTTTGAATTCAAATAAACCTCAACGATCTAATTTCATCGCTCTATAAATTTTATTATACTTTAAATGAAATATTTAATTACTTTCAGCTGCAAGTAATTATATAATATTTATTATAATAAAAAATAAAGTTTTTTTATTACAAAACAAAAATAGAATTTATCATAAAAATAAAAGATATTATTACATGTGATACTTTTATCTTCGATAGTGTATATTTTTCGAATGTGAAGTATAATAACAGTTTGATTTAACTGAAATTTTACATGACATGCTTATATCATAACTGTTTTTACTGGCTGAATTTGAATATTTCCATAAAAATTTGCATAACTTTCGAAGCAAAGCGCTTATTGTTTCACACATCAGTAACATATGAAATACTAATTTTTATACTTTTTTGAAGTTTTTTCTGAAAATCACTTCATTCTGCTCTAATCTGATAAAAAAGCCTACCACTAATATACTGAAAAAACATTTATTCATCAATTTTATTAGTATTATAACAATTAATTAAAGTCGACTTATTATTACACTCTTTGCTTAATATTTGAAAAAAAAAACGCAAATTTTTTAAAAATTAATGGAAAGTACTGAAAAAAATATTAGCATTAAATTTAGTATGTAAGTAAATAACCAGATTGCATTTTGCAAATAACTGATACCAAAAAAAAAATTACAACTACGAAGGTTAGATTCAGTCTTAAATGCATTTTATTGCTATTCTAAACATGAAATATTTATTTGGCAAACTTTTTGAGCATTTTTTTGATAAAAAGTAATAACTATCAATTTTTGATGTCTTTAAGTCCATTTTGCTACTATTATAAATTTTTGAATTTTGGCTATAATATTAATTTTTGATTTAATCAAAAATTGGCATTTTTAAAATTTCATTCTCAGAAATTGCTTAGTTTTAGTCTAAAGTATCAAGATATTAGAATAAACAATCAAGTATTTAGCTCATTAAATAATAAAGCAATATAAAGAAGTTTCATTAAATTGGAGCCTTAGATTTTAAACATATTTATAGACTTATAAAGTTCTGTAAGAAGCAAATTCCTTCCTACTCAGTAAACAAGCAAAAAAGCTTATAAAAGCCATTGCTTGGGATTTTTCCTTTTAAAAACTTATTAAAATTTTCAAAAACATTAAAAAAAACTTAATTTAAAAAAATTATTATTTGACTAATAATGAGATAGTTTTTGCTGTTATCAGTTCAATAGATTGAAATTAAGAGTTCTATATTACTAATCAAGAATTGATAATCACTTTTAGTGTTTACACTTTTTTAATAATTTATAGTTCGTAAACTTGATTTTACTGCTATATTGTTTTAGAAAAAAAACTGGGTAATTTTTTTTGTCTGTAAGTGATAAATTAAATAAATGGTCAAAGGTCAGAATGAATTTTTGATTGCTTTTTTTTAATAAGTTGGAACATTATGCATTTTTCATTACTGTTCCTCTCAAATTATATATCCGTAACTTCAGAAATAATTTATCAACCCTTTCTTTATCAAAAATGATAGATTTTAAAATAGATACGATTCAAAGTTACCACATTGAAGCCTTACGTATTTTCAAAAAGATAGAAATGGCAATTACCGAGAAGCTTCACAATCAAAGTGAGATTTCATTAGTTAATTAAGTGAAGTTAACTTGATACCTTTTTGGCTTCTATTTTCATTATTTGCTGTTATCAGTTCAATATATTGATATTAAGAATTCTATATTACTAATCAAAATTTAAATAATTATATTTAAATTATTAAAAAATAATTACGGTCAGTTATTTAAATTATTATTGAAATTTAATTACAGCTAAAATTAGCACTTTAGTTCTTGTCGAAATTTGATTATTCACGAGCGAATTCATATAAAAAGCAATTATGTTATATTTTTAAAAGGAATTTGATGAATTGAAATGAATTATCAATGCATAATCCAATTAATTAATTATTTTGCCCATTCATTCATTTTGTCATATTTACATTTTGACAACAGCACTGATTAATTTAAATATAACTACTTGTTATTTTTTCAGTTTAAATTAAAATTAATTATGATTGACCGTAACTATTTTTAAAATTTTAAATTCAAGTTTGAAATTTCGATATTTGAATAAAACAAGATATTTTCATTTTTCGATTTTAATAAGAGTGATACTATCACTATATCGGAATTGAAACTTTCCATAATCATTCATCAATAATTTAAATTACTGAGTTTGTTAAAACACTTTTCTGATTAAATATTTTCTAGCAAAATAGCAAAAACTTTTGATATGATGATTCTTCATTTTTCAAATTATAAAAAAATTATTTATAGTTATAAAAAATATTAG